GTTGTTTGGAAACTTCAAACAGTCTTATTTATTTTTTATTCAATCAAGTAAATGTTAAGAAAAACTCCAAAGAGGAAAAAAGACACGATCTCTTTTTTTAAATCTGATTATTCATGCCGTTACGAAAGAGTCAGCAGTTTTATTATTGAGAATCCAGAACGACGCACGGAATGTAATTTCTTCAGTATTCAGTATAGGTTTTAGAGTATAGCTTATATAATGTAAAACGGCGTAGAGGCAACTCGAACTTTCCTACCTGAAAAAAAGTGAACTTCCTGCGTATATTATGTTTCACTAGTAAACCCAGAGTCTAGTAAAAGTCAGTAGTGTGCTTACACAACCATAAAAAGCTGATGAAAAACGTGATTTAGGTGAGCGGATTGTGTAGAAATCCAGGCATTGCTATCGAATGAGAAATGTAGGAGCTGAGGATGTAGCAATAGCCAGAGGCCTGTCGTATTTCACGTGCTTCGTGTAATCGAGCTGACTTGAGCCTAGAGGGGCAGTTATGGTTGAAGAGATGGAATGTGTGGTATTGGAATCGTGCGGCAAAAGACCCTGTGAGATTTTAGATAATGTCAATTTTAGAGCCGTGATCTACCTGCCTTTGGTTTGGATCGTAAACACTGAGTTAGTTTCAAATATTTTGAAAATTTTGTATAAGGAAATGGAAGGTTTGTTTAGTTGGAGTACATCACGTTGCTTGTCAACTTAATGTCAGCTATCGTCAAACTGTTTAAGTATACACTGGAGAGCAACCGCATTGCTGCTGTGTCAACATTTAGTATCAACTATATGTACACTAATATCCCATTACAACTTTTATGTCAAAACTGAAAAGTTTGCAATGAATATAGAGTAAGAGAAGTCGTTAATAACGAGCTGTTTCATAATACCTTGTTTCGGGGCTGAGTTTAATTAATAAAATATTTTCTATTCCTTCTGTGTAACATATTTCACTGAACGTTTACTGAAGGTTATCTAATCTTAAATTATGTTTATGCACTGATATGAATTATTAATTGACAAACCTTGATTTTATTCTTGACAGTTTAATTAAGTATAAATTTATTCAATTTTTTTATGATCAAATTTCATCGAATTTTGTTTGCTAATAGTTTTTATAAGCAAATTTAAAGATAAAATAATAAGTTATACGATACAGGTCAACTTTTTTCTATTTAACTTTTTTCTTTTTTTAAGTTTAAGGTAATAATATACTTTTTATAAAATTATGAATTAAGTTAAGAAAAAATATTTAATAAATTTTATAGAGAGTAATTGTTTAATAATTTATCTTCATTATAAATAATTTTTTCTAAGAAAAAAGTATAAATGATATTTTAAAAATTCATAATTATTTATTTATTTATCTTTTACACACTTATAAAATTGATTAACTATTTAAAATTTAACTTTATGATAAACTGAAAGATATATATTTATTATTTTTATCAATTAAAATATTGTTTTCGAAAATTTTAATTCGTAGTCAAAATTGTAAGCACATATTACGATTTATAATTAAATTGTAAAACACATTAGCTGGTATGTAATTTTATGGGTGTTTGATTAAACAGCTGCTACACTTTTCATCGCGAACAACATTTCTTAATTACGCTCTCGACTCATTTCTGTTTTGTGAGCACTACTACAGTACTTTTTTCGTTATTAAATCAGAAACTAAAATTCCATTTATCTCTACATTTTTCTCATTTAAGAAAAAAATTCTATTATAATTATATTAATTAAATCACCAAGTATTTAATGGAGAGTTGTATTTTTGTATATATATGTATGTATGTATGTAGGAAGGAGATAGAAGGGAGAGACAGAGAGAGAAAGAGAGAGGTAGATAAAACTTTCTATTTTAAGAAGGTAATAGAGTTATTTTAGATAAAACCAGTAAACAATAGAAAATTCTACTTTCCAGTAATTCACTCGATAAATTCAAATGAGATTTTGAAGATTGAAAAAAAAAGGAAAAAAAGAAAAAGCAAAGGGGAGGTAAAATAAAGAAAAATTGGAAAGAGAAAAAGAAACTGCGATTGAGTGCGAGTGATACTATCTCTAGACTTTAAAGGTCCCCCTTTGAACGATAATTGCGCAGCAGAATCAATCGATAATGTGCCAGCGTCAAGTCAACCTATCGGCCTTTGTCGTTCCTGAACTTGGCAGATAACAATCTTCGCTTGAATTCGTTCACAGGAAGGTAAGGGGCAAGCAGAGTGGCCACCAACTTAATGAGACCGACTCCTTCAGGGAATGGATCTCATTGATATAACTCAGCCATACGTATATTTGACAGAAAGTCATTGCCCGTCCCCAGAGTAATGTCCAAAGGGTTACTTACGATCTTGGCATTTAAACCTGTCAACTTTCAAAGATTGATAAATAAGACAGGATAAAAATCTTGATACCGTGCAAACATTTCGTGAAAACTAATGTTTTATGTGAATCGTTTCATAAATTTTTAATAAAAGCATCTCAAATCTTTTTTATTCTTCTATGCCGGCCTTATAACTTCAACTTTTCGTGTTTAATAAAGTAAATAATATTTTCTATGTTAAATAATTTAATAAACAGCATGATTGATCACGTGTATAAATGTCTGCATTCATAAGCTTTCCCTTTCTTACATAATTTATGATTGAGAATAATGATTATCATTTTGGCACTGTAGATTATCCCCACGAGGATTAGTAATTCATATTTGATGTTATCCGCTGTAAAAATATACACCATAATCTTGATATAATGGAAAATTTAAGAATAAAATGAAATGCTAGATGCTCTGCTGATACAAGCCAATTTTTTAATTTTTTTATATATGATTTTCCCCCGTTTTCTCATGTTTAACTTTTTCTTGAAATTACAACTAAGAAAAAATGATTAATAAATTTTTTAGACAGTAATTGTTTAATGATTTATTTTCTTTATAGTTTCCTGTTTATTAACATATATAAATGAACTTAAAGAATAATTTAGTCTAGACGTGCTTTAAGTTTCTGTAAAGAAAAAATATTTTATTGAAAGCGTTATCTGTTTAATAAATAATGAGAGTATTAACATTTTCTTCATTATGTTAACACTTAAAACTTAAAACGAAAGCTTGCAATAAATAAAAATAAAAAGAATTTCTTAAGTTAATTAGTAAAAAGTGAATTAAATTTAAGTATATCTCATGCTTAAATTGTAGTTTTCGTATGTAAAATATATTAATGAATTTTCAAATTTACAGGCAGTAAACTTTTGCTTATAGTTAATTAATAATAAAGTCCATCAATCTTATAATAATAAATAAATGAAGAGCAATATTTTTAATTTATGTGAAAATGTTTTTATATAAAACTTTAAAATTTCACAACAACATAAAGTTTTAGTTTAAAAGTTTAATTAATTTACAGACTATATCAACAAGTCAATTCAAGAAGAAGATAACTCTGATATTTTTTCATTTATCACTGTTAAAAGTCTTTACTCTATAAAAATAATTATTCAAATAAAAAAATTGTATAAAAATCTATATCAAAGGAATGTTACAAATATTAAGAAATTTAAAAAAAAATAGTCAAAATATCTTGTATTTGTGTTTTCTGTAAGAATCAAATGCTTTCGATAAAAATTATTTATTTATTTTGATGTTATAGACGAATATGACAAACAAAATTTTTATTTAATGATATCTCGAAGAGTGTAAAATATTTTTATTTCTTAAACTAAAATAACTAAATGAGTTTTTTAAAATAAAATACATTTGAAATTGGTATAAAGGTCGCAGCTCATTACTATAAAGTTTCTATTATTGTTATTATTTTAAAATAAAAACTAAAGATGTTGACATAAAGTGAAAATCCCAAGTAACAATCTTTGCTTATTTGTGAAAGTCTGTCAACAATTTTTATTTATTTATCTTATATTCTACAAAAAAAGAAACTTATAGTGCAAAAACTCCATAAATTTAATACGAGATTTTCCATCTTAAAAGATATGTTATATAAAATTATGATTTTTAAATTAATTAATAATTTAATCATATATTAAATTTTATTGTTTTAATCTAAATATATAAAAATTACTATATTCTAATGTCTAAATATAGAAAATAAATTATATTTTATTAATTTAATAAATTCAAATTGTAGGTAAGAAATAATTTTCGTATATTTAGGACGATGTGTAATACAGGAAAAGAAAAATCAGTAAAATTTTATATGCATGAGTAAAAAGAAAAATATATTAGGATAAAAATTTAATAAATAAAAGCTTAATCCTATTCAATTTATAAGATTTATTAAAGCACGATTGAATAGTCAGAAAGTCGAAGGTTTATTGATTGAATTCAAATATTTTTGATGATAAGTGCATCATTTATTCTGAGACTTTCTAGGTTATTTTTCTTCATTGGCGTAGATATAGCCGAAGGTAAACTTTCACTAAAAATTACTTTTCTTCTCCTTATTTTATTTTATTTTAATTTTTTTTTCTTTGGCTCAATCTGATTTTGAATTTCAAGCTTAAATAGGCATCCAATTTATGCAAACAAAGTAACGATTTCCCATACAGTATTCCTCTTATACGGTCAACGCCTTTGTAAAGTAATTGTGGCCATCTCCTTAGAGCCTACAGTTGTTCACTCACTCTGATGAAAATAGAAAATAAGAGATTTAGCTGCAAGGTTTTTCTCAATCATAACCGGAAGATTCATTGATCGCCAGTCAAAAGTTCATGAGGAACAAATCAAATTTCATACAGTTCTAAATCTAATTAAGAAACAATAAAACAATATAATAAAAAATGATATATTGTGTATAAATATCTGTACGACAATTAGAAGAATGTGTAGTAATTTAATTTTTTTCTATTTTTCTCAATTAAATTCTATAATAAAAGCTAATCAATTTGACAATAAATTTTTAATGTTTTTACAATGAAATTATGTATTACACACGGCGTATAATTTCACAAAGTGTAATTTACCGGGACATACCTCTTTACAGGAAAGCAGTGTGCTGCAGATAGTGCGCAGGCGTGCTGTAGAGCGGTGTATATCTTCGCCTTTCACCACAACTAGTAAGCCAGTTAAAGATCGTTCGGCGATGTGGCGAGTCTCTAGCGTTAAACTCACTCAAGTTATACCTGAACAGGCGTGAGGATAATATACAACAACTAATGGAAAGTGCTATAAATGTCGTTCTGCACATTTTTGTGTTTTATGTTTCAGGTAAGAGCAAACATTTTTTTACTTTTTCCTTCAAAAAAAAAATTAATACTTATCGTCTTCAAATTAAATTTCATTTTTCCTATAAATAATTTCTTACTTTTAAAACATAAAATTTAATTATATTTAACTGTTTAAATATTTATTTTTGTATCATTAAGGGTTTTTTTAAACGTAAATAATAATTTTATTAAATATTTATAATTTAAAATTTCTCTTTAAAAGAATATAAAAATGAAATAATTTAATATTTGCTAAATGTACTTGTTGCACTGTAAATTTTATTTTGAAAAAGGAAACATGAAATAAAATATAGATTAAAAAGTTTTGAATAGTTGCAAACAAAATAAAAGCAAACAATGTATATTTTTTTTCTTTAGAAACAGTTGTTTAAAAAGTGAAAAAGAAAATCAAAACAAAATAAACATGTTTATCTCTTCAAACAACTTCCAGTTTGGAAAATATTATTTGGCATTAGAATTTTTAAAGANTATATATATATGTATTATTTAATAAGTAATTTTATTTAAAAGTTTTGCATTACTAATTACAATTTTTTTAATGAAATTCTAGAATGTTTAGCGAAAAATCAACAAGGAAGAGCATTAGCCTTTTCAGTTGAGCCTTCTCAAAATATAGATTTCTATAATACAACAGGAACTGTAATACCATGTTCTGCACATGGAGAACCTGCTCCCACGCTCACCTGGAAGTCTCGTGATGGTAGTGTCGTCACTGATGTACCTGATCTACGTCACGTTAGGCCCGATGGCTCCCTCGTGTTCAATCAGTTCCAACCAGAACAGTACAGACAAGATGTACACGCCACTGTATATTATTGTGTCGCTTCCAATGTTTTTGGTAGCATTGCTAGTAGGGATGTACACGTCAGAGGAAGTAAGTATAACAATTAATTGCATAATGAAGTTTTAAAAAAACCTGCATTTTTTTCATCAGAAGAGATTAACTTATAAATTCCAGGGAAAAAAACTGTCATATGGGACGTTTTTGTGATTTATACATCAATTAATTAATCTAATAACTTAACTTTCTAATATGATATAATGAGATAAAAATTTTATCGAAATATGCTTATAAGATTAATAAATTACATTTAAAAAAAGCGATTATAAAATCATAAAACAAATTTGAACACATTAACAAGTCGTTAATCGGCATTTTTTAAACGTTTCGTTAAAATTGGATTAATAAATTTTGATTAATTTAATAATTATCATTAAAGAGTTTTCAGTTTTTAATTTTTTTCCTTTTTAAAATAAAAAGAGACCAAAGTGATAATTCCAAACGAAATGTTCTGTTATGGAATGTCGAATCGATTTACTGAATGGTACAGAAATGACTTTAGTTATTAATGAAATTTGTTGAGTTAGTACAGATTGCCCAGGTTTGAAGCTCAGTGTTGTTGACCTCACTCTAAACTCTTATAAAACAATTATAATCCAGCTTTATCAATATAATTACATATATTATTAATTTAAATCACAATGCAAACCATTCTTTAATTTAATTATTTTACAATTTATTATTACATTAATACAACGGAGAAGTTATTAAATGTAAAGAGTAGGACAATTTGTACATTAGATATCATAAAGGGTGTTGATAAAAATGTATTTTAAAGTTTATAAACTTTAATGTAATGTAATGTTATAAATATTTATACTTTTTTTCATTTACATATAAAAGAATTTAATGATTATATATATTTTATGGAGAGATGTTTGAGAGATTTTTATCTAAAACAAAATTTATCACCAAGTTTGCATTAAAGTAGAAAATATTCTTACTATAAATCGGTATCGATTCACATATGCAAAAAGAGCTTTTCTTGATTGATTATCGATCATAATCTGATAAAATTATCACATAAGAAATGCATTAGTAGTCAAAAAACGGCATTCTAAATCATCTCTGACGTAAATAACATCGTTTGAGCATTAATTCAGATTAATCGGTGCTTGATATTACCTAGATTTATGGAAATCTATATGCTGATGTAGTAACAATAAAGCTTTACATAAAATTATGTCGTAAAATAAGTTAGTAGCTTTTCCTAAATACAATAATAATAATTGATTCATTAATTTAAAATGCTTTCCAAACTCTCGTGTTTGCTTTTGTCTTAAGCCATTTAATTACTTTATTTGAATTCAGTAAGTACCAAAATAGCTTTAAAAAATATTATTATATAATCCTTTTTCAAGTAACTTTCAAGAGTGATAAATTATGTAAAGATCCATTTTTATATTAAGCAGTTATTATTAAAGATATATAAAGATGAAACCTTTTAAAATACATTTTATAAAGATATATATATATATAAGATATGCGGTGTATATCTTCGCCTTTCAC